CCAACGTTTATAGATACTTTTTCAGTTTCGGAGCTCTCCGCTTCGCCTTCGGGGAGCAGGAGGCCGGCTGTAGTTCCCGCCACCGCGGCGCTGCAGGCCAACTTTGCGCCAAGCAAACGAGGGTCGTCTGCTACAGCTAGGCGCGCTGCAGCCGGTGAGCAGCGTTTACACAACACCGCAACTCCTTGGTTTAGGCACGAGGAGTATATCGTAGAGCCTAGATGCGTGTGCGGCGTCTTTCCAGGTCCTTGGTGAAAATAATAGCTCACGTAGCGTAGTGCTCTAGACGAGAGTTTCTCGATTAAAGAGCCGTTCTGCTGCCTTGTAACTTCTTGGTCTTTCAGGTAGTAAAAACAAAATTGAGATCTGTGTTGTATTAGAAACGTCTCATCGAAGCCGCGGTAAAAGCTGTGACTCATCTGGTTCCAGCTTAGTTGTTTAGAAGCTATTATTGCGAGTATCAGCATAGGGATCTTCGACGCTGTGCACATTAACTTGCGCAGCAAAAAACACCTCGGCGGGCCCTACCCTAAAGAAAGTTGAAACCGAGCCATTGCCGTAAAGTATCAGCCACATGTAAAATCCCGCTGAAACGACGCTATTTCTCAGTTCAGCTGCTATATAAACCAGTGCACTTACTTCTTCTGAAGTATTCCGATTTATGGGTGTCTGAGTGGATAATACTTAGGATAAACTAGAAAATGCAAAATTTGTGAAAATAGGAAAACATCAGTGTATTGACACAAAAACACTTGTCACTGCCACGAGCATTCAAATTTCAATTTCAAACAAGCGCATAGCTGAATTCCTGTGACAATTGGGGCTTGTGAGAGGCAAACAATGCGTAAGACAATCTGTTGTGTACCTTTACCAATTCGGTCCTTTTGCTTGTTGCATGATGAATGTACTATGAAGGGACACTTCCTGCACTTCAGGTAAATCTTCAACTAGACCAGTGAGAGTCACTGGGGATGCAGTCTTTTTTTTTTAATCAACCGGCTTATCTCAAGTTTTATCTGTTCTCGAGCGGCGGTGGCACAGATCAAGCGTTTCCTCAATTCGCTGGTTGTGATCTACACGTTGTTCTTCACTGTTTTTGTCGTTCTGTTTTTTTCCATTGTAACCGCTAAAATGACACAAGATACACATACATCTGTTAGCCCCAGTCATGTCCACACAGCTGTCCTTATGATGAATATTTCTTATTGGCGCACTTTCTCTTTTCGCTGTGCCAGTAGATGTATTCTGTGAACTCTGCGTTATAGAAGGTTATTACCGGAGGTTCTTCCTTCTTCTCAAGTACCGTCAAACTCTAGTCGCAGGGAAGTTGAAGCACACTTTTTTTTAATCGCTCAAAAAAAAAAAACTGGAGCCCTCCGAATGTGCGGGTGACCTCTTGCCGGAATTATTCTGGCAGACCACAAGGTAACAGCAGTTGGTTGTTGCACAGATATCCTTGATTTTGTGGCTTCTTTACAATTACGCGGGGAAATTCGGAAATAATCAGGGAACTCCAACACTCATCGGCACCCACGCACCTTGGTCAACTTAGACATCTCCATTTATGGTACGCCTATATGGCTTCAGGGTGTCACTTTTGTTGAAAGTAAACATCGCCCCCTTGCACGTCTTTCCTGTGGATCTTTCCCACTTCCGCAGTAACAGCGCGGGTCGTGAAGTGGGGAGATGTGGGTGTTTCTAGGGCCTTTTTCCTCTACCCGCTGGTGTGTCCGGTCACAAAACACATCATTATGATGTCCGGAGGGTCTGAGATATGGTGCACGGGATAGCAGCTACAGTATAATTAACCTCGGGAGACGTACATACGTGCTCGATGCGTCCACACGTGGTCAATGCTTAGATGGTGCCCGCGATGTCAACAATCGGAGAGTTTCCTACGTCGTGGATCTCTGAGTATCTTCGTGACTCTAGGCGTCAACTTGTCTTCAGAAGACCATGGAAGCATGCCATGCGATGAGACATACACACAGAAAAAGAAGTGCGACCGAACCCCGGCACGGAACGCACGAAACTGCAGCCGCAGTGAAGCCAGCGGGAAGCAGCCGGTTACTTGGTGCAAAGTTCGACTGCAGCGCCCTCACACTCCCTCGGAGCGAATCACGCCCGCGTCGAAAGGAGGAGTTCGAAAACTGAAAGGGTATCTATGAACGTTGGTTTTGACCACATGTATTGATACCAACAACTCGCATGCCGCTCATCTTCTGCGTTCGATGCACACCAGTCCAGTGATGCCTACACTGACTTCGTTATTCATTTCACATTTCATGCGTAGATCTACATATAGATGCGGGTGCGAGCGCGGCATGTTTTTTTCGTTTTGTGCTCGCACGGCACCCACCAACGAGCAGCGGGCGGAGGAAGAGCCGCTTCTCTCGGCATATCAACTTTTCCCGCAGTGCTTCGTGCCCCCGCGGGGCGTTGTGGGATTGATTGAGAAAGGTCTATTATGGCGCAAGCAGAATAGTGGAAATATGGAGGAAGGAAAAACAGAGGAGAGAGCATGACGTCACGCACCCAGCCTAGGCAAGCCAATCCCTTTCGAAGCCATCAAAGTCGGCCCAACACGGGACTGTTTGCACGAAATCATGGCAGCAACGAGACTTGCCGATACTTCAGAGTACGCCGCCCGGTAGCTTTTATTCGAAACGCGCTGGTTCGGCGCAGACCCACCGGCTCACGCAGGTGGTTCAAACATAGAGTTTCTCAAAATTAACTGGAGGGCACTCTGGCGCTGCGATCGTTCAGCGACCATGGGAATGATGGGTAGTACACACATTTGCCTAGACTTCGTACTTGCGGGCGGCGAATCGTACTTGCGGCTTCGTCTATTACTGGTTACGATTTTGTTTTGAAAAAAAAAGAACGAACCCTTTTGAACTTCGTGACCCGATTCGAAATGGTAAGCCTGAAAGAATAAGGTTGTGAAGCGCAAACGGTGAACATTTGCTAATTTATGTTTTCGTGAAAAAACAGCTCCAAGCCACACGAACACACATGCAGCCAGAAGCAGGCCAGAAGTACGAAAAAAATTCCGCCATATCCACGAAGTGAATGATGATGAGTGGGCGAAGCTCCGGAGGTAAACCTGGTAAACCATGAATCCTCTGTACATTTTGCCCACTCGATTTTATTACATCGCTCCCCCTAGCGTACGTCGCCGTACTAAATCGAACGATTGCCTTCAACCAATGACACGCGCCATATGTGACATCATTCCTATTTTATAAGATCTCGCGTCTTTCATCAACTACAAGTACCGCTTTCTAGTTTATAACATCTTGCATCTTTTCATCATCAGCTACAAGTACCACCATCTAGTAAACACTACAAGAACTAAACGAGAGGTGGCTACATACAGGAGACGGTACCGCCATCTAGTGAACACTGCAAGAACTAAACTAGAGGTGGCTACATACAGGGGATGGTACCGCCATCTAGTGAACACTGCAAGAACTAAACTAGAGGGAGCTACATACAGGCTACAGGGGACGCACAGCCCACGCCCTAAGGAGCTTCGCCCCTAAAATTAGTCAAATGTGTGTACTACCCATCATTCCCATGCTCGTTGAAGCGCCGTGTGTTGCAACTCCCATAGACACTAGCGCCAGAGTTCCCTCTGGTAAGTATTGTGGGAAACTCTATGGGTTCAAAGACGGAACAGCACCGAGAGTACTAAAACCTACCGCAAGCTCTGACGTTTTGATCACCTGTTGGACCGACAAGGTGGGCTTTATTCGTGTGACGTAATGCTCTCTCCTCTCTTTTTCATCCTCCATGGGTGGAAGCTGACAAGGTGCAAAAAAAAATGGCCCCAGCTCCGCGAAGTGAATCGTGAAGAAATACGAATGCATTGTGTAGCGTCCATAACGACGTTTCGCACGTGAGAACCCACCACTACGGTTGTGAATGGTTGTCCAGATCAAGCAGTCTCTTCTTTTTTTTTTTTTTTTTACTAGCAGACGCTGCCTCCGTCTGCCTTGCCAGGCGAGAGAGAGAGGGATGGGAGCGACCATTGGGACGAGACGGGAGCATGCACAATGGGGGTGTGGACGGCGCCGCCGACCTGGATCCGCGACATGGTGCGACTAAAAAATCGGTGCGATAACGTCACTGAAATGATAACGCCAGATATCGAGGCGCGAACGCCACTTCCGCCAACGTTGCTCGCAAAGTCCGAAACCCGTGCTCGTGTAGAATGAGTCAGCCGACGTGAATCCTGGTCAACCCAGAGGTATCACACTGCTTTCTCTCAAAGAATCTGATGTGCACAGCGCTATTGACGACGTACCTAGATCAGCATGCATGTCTATCCACCGAAAAAGCTGGCCTCCTCGTGTAAAGTGCAACTTCCAGAAATGAAAACCAAATTGATTTGATTGATATGTGGGGTTTAACGTCCCAAAACCACCATATGATTATGAGGGACGCCGTAGTGGAGGGCTCCGGAAATTTTGACCACCTAGGGTTCTTAACGTGCACCCAAATCTGAGCACACGGGCCTACAACATTTCCGCCTCCATCGGAAATGCAGCCGCCGCAGCCGGGATTCGAACCCGCGACCTGCGGGTCAGCAGCCGAGTACCTTAGCTACTAGACCACCAGGGCGGGGCAAAAAATGAAAACCAAAAGAGCGGCATTTCAGTGGATGATCGGGAAAAATTATGCCGCCTAGATTCTAAACTGAAGTATGATCACATTACAACACGCGTTTGGGACAGAAATTAGCCGAAAACAGCTCGTTCAAAAAAAAATTTTTTTGACGAGCCTCCACACCTAGCGGCCGTTGTGCTAGGGTTGACGAATAGACACCACAAAGGGAATGACGTTAAAGCAGCCGTGTATTGCTTTTTCGATGAATTAGCTTCCTTTATATAAATGAATAATAACGCACAGACGAGCCAGCGAGTTGCGCAGAAACCGCATACGCGCGAAAGAGATATAGCTTTTAGAAACGTGACACGGTCACGATTGGACCTTACCTCACGCTGGTCTTTCCCAACGATGCAGAGCTCGTTGGCACCGAAGAAGATTTAGTGCTACCTGCTGCTGGGTCAGTGCTTTCTGCGCGCATGGCCAGTGCTGTGGAACTTGTAGACGACTGGCGTCGTGCTGAGCTGGAACTGTTCCCTTTGTTCACATCCGTGAAGGCTGTACGCAAGGCAGAAAACTGATTGGAGAGGCCTTTCAGAGGTCCATTGCTCGATGTCGCCCCGGGGGCCTTCGTGGTGGACGCTGCACTCAAGGCCGCATTTGAAGCTCGTGAAGAGCCTGCCTTGGGCTTTGACATTGCCTCCTCTCGCCATCCTGAAAGCAGCAGCAATGAATAAAACAATTAAAGAAAGCCGTACAGGGCGATACCTAAAGGGTCCCTGCGACACTTTACTGACAGCCTTGTTTAGCACCGGAACGCGGGGTGCTGAGACGGATACAAAAGCAGTGATGGAAATTGGGGCAAGAAAAGTGAAGTTACATGAGTCTTCAACTCGAGAAGACGACGATGAGAAACCCTCTTTTTCGCATTTCACTCATCTGCTGACGTGAAAGACCGCTTTCAGTCACTACTAGTCACAAGCACCGATCTCCACTAGGTTTACTGGATGGCGCTTCGAGCTCTTCTGCGCGCGGCAACTGGAAGTTTGAGCCCTCGTCCCGGAAGTACTGCAAATGGCCGCCTCGCAAGCATTGCTACTGCAACGTATAAGCTGTTATTGTTCGCATTTCGCTAAAAATGCCTGCGTGTTGCGCCGTAAACTGTAAAAGCAGGCCAGAGAAGGCGTCTGGAAAGGCGTTTCGCTTGTAAGTACTACGATATTTTGTACGAGATATACCATACGCAGCGAAATGCTCATGTATCAGTGTCAGCATAGTTGTGCGTCGTATTTCGCAGATTTCCGTGCTCTAAGCCGGATTCGTACCAGCGCTGGGTCGCAAACCTAAGAAGAGACAAGTGGACTCCTTCTCCAGGCAGCCGACTCTGCAGTGACCACTTCAAAGAGGTCCGTTTCGATCGAACTGCTGCACGGACTCGGCTACAGCCAGATGCCATCCCCACGTTGTTTACTTTTGTGCGCGCGTGTGCTGCCGAATGTGCTGTGTTTATCTCTCTTCCCTCTCTGCTCTCTATCATTCGTTTCCCCCATCCACCTCCCATGCGCAGGGTAGCAAACCGGCTACCTATAGGCTGGTTAACCTTCCTGCCGTTCATTTCCCCCTATTTTCGTTCCAGTCCCAAAGCATCTGCGAAACCTGCGATAGGCCGTGCTATTTGGGTGTATCGGCAGTAAAATATGTAATTACTGTCCGACCTTCATCGTTCACTCGTTCAGTATGCGTATAACTTGCCTTGCTTTGAATGCTGCGTTAAGCCTGTTTCACATGCGAGTGACCGAGCGGCAGCGGTCATGGGGATGAGCGGCGGGAGGACGCGCGGACGCGCGTTCGTTTCACATGCGCCGCTGATATACCACTGCTGTTGCGCGACGCCCGCCGCTCTGGTGGGCATGTGTTGTCCGCGGAAAGCGCCGGTCAACCGCTGTTTTTAGTGCTATCTAAAAGCCGTGCTCTCCTCTAAATGTCCTCCCTTTCGCACCCGTGTGCTGCGACGTTCATCATCAATAGCCGCTCGACCTTTACGCGTCTGTACACTGATTGAACTAAGTGTAACATGAATCTTATAACAAATAAGCAACGTTTGCAGTTGCTCTTTTGTTTTGTCCTGGCTTTTTGACGTATGGTTTTTGTTGCACGCTCATATAACTCACCATGGAGAAGCAAATGACAGAGTTTGCTGGTATGGTTTTATTAGACAACTGTTCCAGCTAGGTGAATGCATAAGAACTGCGAGCGTGTTTTGCGCAGCACTTCCCATGTTTCTCCGATTCATTGATCTTGCTTTCAACGATTTAACTTTGCGATTTATTTAAGTTTGAGATTTAACCTGTTCGCTCGAGTCAAAATTAAATTTTATATAAAAACTCTCAGTGGTAAGCTTCGGCCGTGTTTGTGGTCACCCTGTGACATATGCGAACACACTCTTCCTCGGGATCTTCCGAATGGTCTACATTTCGTCTGGCACCCGAATTTGCGTGCTTCCACCATAAATAGTAAGCCTCTTAGGTTTTTCAATGATTCAGTAAAACACCTCAGGAAGAGTTTCACCAACGGCAGGTAGCATGGTACATGTGATACGCTCGTTGTCCCGGTTCTTTGGCTGCTGTATGTACACTTGTGCGCGGCCCAGGCCAGGGACTACGCAGTGGGTCTTGCTTTAGCGGAAATTTGTGCCCATAAATTCTGCGGTGGTGAGCAGGAAAGCCGAAGTATCACATCATTTCACGCAACACACTTTTGCTTCGCGCCCCCTTTTTAATTGCGCCCCCTATTTAATTGCGGTGTGCGTGTGCGTGTGCGCGTGTGCGCGTGTGCGCGTGTGTGTGTGTGTGTGTGTGTGTGTGTGTGTGTGTGTGTGTGTGTGTGTGTGTGTGTGTGTGTGTGTGTGTGTGTGTGTGTGTGTGTGTGTGTGTGTGTGTGTATACACACGCAGTGCATGTCCGTCTTCAAAAACTTTTCATTTGGCAGTTCATCATAGCCTGAGCTGCTGTGAATATTGCTAGATTACCTCAGTGTAAAAACATCCCATGGCATTGTAGTGAGACCTATAATTCAGCATTCAGAACTTCTCAATTACCGATACGGATCAAGAAGTGTAAAATTTTCTCGTGCAGTAGAAAGAAGTGCTTCGGAAAAAGTTTATCGTAAAAAACCTTAGCACTGTTTAGCTGGTCACTTATTTGCTTCATTAAAAGCTGAAACCACGAACAAATCAGTGCTCGGGAACACTGCGAGTGTGACAGCAAAAAGGCACTGATGATCTAACATGCCTGTTGATTGCAAGATGAAACTTGTAAGAACTCCTCTTTTTTTCCCTTGAATACCTCAGGGACGGATCAAGTGCATTTTTGAACTGGCCCCACATCATCAAGCTACAAAAACTTCAAGAAAAAAAATTGGCAGATCCCACGTACATTGGGATTCGATGATGTGCGGAGCACGAATGAGATCTGTTGATATGTCACCTTAAAATCAGCACAACGTTACGAGGTGAAGGTAAATGATGCCGTACATGCCTTCCGTGTCATGATTATCATGTTTCGATGTGTCGTTTACATTCGTCATCTATTCACGCCACGTTATACCAAATTTAGTATATGTGGAGCTAACGAAACGGCCGCGAGCACGCTATGAGCGTGGTACGTTACCATGTTCTTACATGACACGCGTGTCAGAGTAACCATGTTTCCAACAGTCATATATTTAGTCATCCATTGACGTCACGTAACACCAAATTTGGTATTTGTGAAGCTAGCAAAACGGTCACGAGCGCATCATGAGGGGTCCAATATACTCCAATGTATGCTGACGCGCGCGCACGCTGGGCAAAGTGACGCTACGTTAGCACAACGCGAGCACTCTATAGTCTGACGGCAGGCGCTACCGACGCGACTAGCGTCCGTCGGCGCGGCCCGACGGCAACCGGCGCGAAATTTGCGCCGATGCGTTACCCAGACAACACTGCGTCTGCCTCTTTTCGCGACGGAGGGACGCCGGACCCACTGAAACCCTCATACGTCAAAGCAACGGAGCGCGGCACGCGCCTGCGAGTATTTGGCAGGACCGGCGCCTGGCGTGGCAATGCTGGTGTGACGCGACGAAATGAACGCCGGCAAGCACGCGCACCACGTCATGTTGAAATGTATTGGCGCCTCCTCTGTGGCATGTAGTCATGTTCTCACATGACACGCATCTCATGATTATCATGTTTGCACCGGTCACATACGTTTGCCATCCATTCACTTGACGTAATACCCCATTTGGCATATGTGAAGCATGCGAAACGGCCGCGAGTGCATCACGAGTGTGGCATGTAGGCATATTGCTACATGACACGCGTGTCATGATTATCATTTGAACGTGTAATTTACATATGGCATCCGTTCGCGTCACGTAATAATAAATTCGGTACACGTGAAGCTGGCGAAACGGCCGTGAGCGCATCATGAGTGTGGCACGTAGTCATGTTGTTACATGACACGGATCTCATGATTATCATGTTTGCACCAGTCACATACCTTCGTCATCCAGTAACACCGAGTTTGGTATATGTGAAGCTAGCGAAACGACTGCGAGCGTACTATGAGCGTGGCGCGTTGTCATGACTCATGAGTCATGACTTATATGACATGCGTGCCATGATTTCCACGTCAGTGTCTTTCACTTGTGTTCGTCATGCAGTCATATGATACCATGCCAATTTTGCAACATGTCAAGTGAACGAAACCACCACAAGAGCAGCAAGACCATGCAATGCAAACAATCACATTCATGACATACATATCATGATAGTCATGTTATGACTAGTTCATAATGCTCGACATACACTCACATTATGCCGTACCAAATTTGGTATTGATATCGTTGACGAAAGAGCCAGGAGAGCTAAAAGTCATAGACGGCTAAGCAGACAGACAGACAGACAGACAGACAGACAGACAGACAGACAGACAGACAGACAGACAGACAGACAGACAGACAGACAGACAGACAGACGACAGACAGACAGACAGACAGACAGACAGACAGACAGACAGACAGACAGACAGACAGACAGACAGACAGACAGACAGACAGACAGACAGAAGACAGACAGACAGACAGACAGACAGATAGATAGATAGATAGATAGATAGATAGATAGATAGATAGATAGATAGATAGATAGATAGATAGATAGATTAGATAGACAGACAGACAGACAGACAGACAGACAGACAGACAGACAGACAGACAGACAGACAGACAGACAGACAGACAGACAGACAGACAGACAGACAGACAGACAGACAGACAGATAGATAGATAGATAGATAGATAGATAGATAGATAGATAGATAGATAGATAGATAGATAGATAGATAGATAGATAGATAGATAGATAGATAGATAGATAGACAGACAGACAGACAGACAGACAGACAGACAGACAGACAGACAGACAGACAGACAGACAGACAGACAGACAGACAGACAGACAGACAGACAGACAGACAGACAGACAGACAGACAGATCAGATAGATAGATAGATAGATAGATAGATAGATAGATAGATAGATAGATAGATAGATAGATAGATAGATAGATAGATAGATAGATAGATAGATAGATAGATAGATAGATAGATAGATAGATAGATAGATAGATAGATAGATAGATAGATAGATAGATAGATAGATAGATAGATAGATAGATAGATAGATAGACAGACAGATAGACAGACAGACAGACAGACAGACAGACAGACAGACAGACAGACAGACAGACAGACAGACAGACAGACAGACAGATAGACAGACAGATAGATAGATAGATAGATAGATAGATAGATAGATAGATAGATAGATAGATAGATAGATAGATAGATATATAGATAGATAGATAGATAGATAGATAGATAGATAGATAGATAGATAGATAGATAGATAGATAGATAGATAGATAGATAGATAGATAGATACGCTCAAAGTCGCTGAAGTTCGCTAAGAAATGGTTCGCATTTAAAATACAGTGTCTTCAGACAAATCGGAAGCGCCTGAAGTGAGTTTTCCTTCAGATAAAGTTGGCCCATTCACTGCCCTGCCTCTAGAATACCAAATAGGAAGGAGGTTGGTGTAGTCCTCACCTTTCGGATAAGAGCTGCCCCAGGACTCGCGACGTTGGTAGCTCGAGCCCTGCCGAGGCTGGGACAACTGCTTACTGTCCTTGGCGTGTGCCGAAGATGACCTAGTAGAAGAGGGCCTGCACTGGCCATCCATCCGCGGCGGAGGCCGATGCGGCTGCTGCTGCTGCTTGTGATGATCGCCAGACTGCTGCTTGTTGGCATGGTGCGAGGGCAGGCTTGAGCTTCTTTGGTGAGAGGAACTCTGCCGTTGATTCTGATTTCTCGACTGGTTAGCAGGATCCGTGCTGCCGCCACTGCTGGCACCATCACTGCTGCTGCTGCTGCTGGTGCTGCTGCTCACACCATTACTACGGTGTTGCTGCTGAGTCAGAAAGCTTTGGCTTTTGCTGCTGCCATTCGTGGTTGCTCCAGGATCTGTACCAAGTAGAGAGATGCCCACAAGCTTTAAACAACAGACAGCAACTGTTAACAATGCATCCCCCCAACACTTGTCCCACAACTAAAGCTTCAAGCCAGAATGATCACTGTTGCAATGCTAAATTGTAAAGGGCACTATTATTTTATTATAAATAACTCATCAAAAATAGTTGTTGCACAATATCATTCACCCGTATGTTTTGCAACATACATGGTACTTATGGCAATCTGATGATTGAAGCAAAATAAATTCGCATGGGGCCCATAAAAAATTACTTGCACTGTTAGCGACCACCTTAATTTTAATACAATGGCCAAATATAGCTCTTGACAAGCTTATAGAAATTGAGCTATGCAATAGGGACAAGGTAGCCACACAATCTTTAAGACAACTTTAAATTAAGACGTTGTAGTCGAGGTAATGTCATTCCATGCAGACACCCTCAGTCTTGTTGGTAATTTGGGTTAGCTGACATGCAACACATCACCCTACCTGCCTCTAGTCTGGAACACCTGCTCTTCCCGTCCCGTCCTCACCTACCGGCACACCGGAGCCTGGCCAAGTTCCTGGACGAGGCGGGAATCGCTGCCTATCTTTGAGCGGGGACCTAATACGCCTGCTCCTGCTGCCGCCTGTTTGCTGTTCCGGCCATGACGAACACGACTCGACTTTTTACACATATACACACCTCTATCTTTTCTTTTCACTTTCATTCCCTTACCCCTTGCCCTACAAGGCACAGCACCGTGTCGCTCAAGAGGAGGACGGAAATTAGGTGCCTTCTTTCCTCCTTTAAACAATCACTCACAATCTTTCCTACCTGCATACAACTACCAATATTCTCTATCAGGTGGAACTACATCACTGCATAGTGGTTGTTCCTAATGCAATAACACAGGTTCAGCTATATATATATATATATATATATATATATATATATATTATATATATATATATATATATATATATATATATATATATATAATGTACTAAAGCAATGCTAAATCAAAGCTCGGTTTCCCGTTTTACAGCACCTTCAATATTCATGTTACATGGGCTTATCAGTAAGGGGTTGCATTGACTTGTATAAACACTTATACAAAGCTAGTCAATTATTGCATATGCTGCATTGTCATACGATTACGACGCGACCAAATGCATGTTACTTTGCTGCACTGTCCTCATCAATTTTGTACAAACCGTTCCTCCTAATACTGGAAATCCGCCAGAATACTGATCCTGTATGGGATCCATTTTCATGTGAAGTGTGCTGACTCACCTAATATCTTGCCACAGAGAGTGTTAGTGCGACTGCTGCATCATAATATACAGGGTGTGTCACGTAACTTTAGCCAGAGTTTAAAAATATGCCGGAACACGTAATTACGACGCGACCAAATGCATGTTACTCACCGTTGCCTGGAGATAGACTCTTCTTTGTGGTTCAAATATTGTTTAATTAGATATTTTTAATGAACTGACTTTTGAAGAAACGAAGATAGATAAAAAAATTCAATGAGAAAGTTGTAGATAGGTTTGCAGAACGTCCAAATAGATAGTTTTGAACTTTATATCTGTTACGTATTAGTGTTTTTCTGCTAATTGCAAATGCCCGCAAAATACAAAAAATACCACGTGACAAACCGACTCGCGCGTCAGTGTGCACAATGAGTTTGGTGCTCCCTAACGTTCCGTGTACAAACGACACGCTTCCCTCACACCGGTTCATGACAGCGATAACCAGTCACAGTGGTTATCGTTCATGTGGCCGATAGCAAAACGTGTTTATCGTAAAGCCACCACCATCGTTGCGGCCCTGCCAAGACAGCACGATAGGGCAAACGCTACGGTCGTTCGTACGCGGAACGTTAGGGAGCACTAGAATCAATGAGCACACTGGCGCATGAGCGGGTTTTTCACGTGGTATTTCTTGTCATTCGCGGGCATTTGTAACTACCAGAAAAATACTAATACCTAACAGCTATAAAGTTCAAAACTGTCTAATCGGACGTTTCGCAAACCGATCTACAACTTTCTCATTGAAAATTTTATATATCGTTGGTCCTAAAAAGTTAGTTATTTAAACATACATAATTAAACAATATTTGAGAATATAGAAATAGTATGACTAACTCCAGGCAACGGTGAGCAACATACATGTGGTCGCGTCGTGATTACGTGTTTCGGCATATTTTTCAACTCTGGCTTAAGTTACGTGGGACACGCTGTATAGCAATGGTGCCATCTGAAATCATTTCACAAAAAAAAAAGAGGAAAGACAACGTATTTAACCACACAGCCAAAGTGCAGATGAATATGACTTTAGCATGTGGATATTCACAATGTTTGTACGTGATACAATATTATTTTAAAAGGGCCTTACAGGTTCCTAGAAGCATTATGTAATTTCATTTTGTGCTACACCACAAAAAGGGGCAAGAAAACAAAATACACTTCGAATCATGACAGCTCATTTACACAACAAAACTTGCCACATTAAAATACGAGCAATGCAATTACAAAACGGGCACAACATAAGGTCGCTAATACAAAAAACCCGTAACGTAAAATCGCTCACAAAGTATGATAAAATCAATGAAAAAATGAGGAAGTGGTTGTGGTGTGAAACATTACTTTAATAAATGTGTGTTCACTAGATGACTAATGTTTTCTTGATTATTCTCAGAAACAAAAGTGTTAGGAAGGTCGTTCCAAATGTGAATGGCTTTTGGAAGAGTGGAATAGTTAAATGAATTAATCTATCCGTAAATGGGCTTGAAGTTAAACTGATTATAGAAACGTTGTTACCTATAGGGGGAGTTTCATCTGGCAAAAATGATGACGGCGCAATATAGATGTATGTGTGAAACAATCATAGCAGGGTGATATCTCGATGATTATGCAAAGGAGAAAGAAATAAGTCGAGTTGAAATTTCGCAACGCTTTTGTTATATTCATAACAAAGTGAAATGAAACGCACGTGAAGCCTTTTCCTCCGTACAGATTCGAGTTTTGCGATTAGATGTTTTTGATTGGGAGACCAGATGGAAGCTGCGTATTCAAGTTGAGGTTGTAAAAATGTTAGAAAAGCTAGTTTAGGAATATTGTTAGAAGAATGATGCAACTATAGCGACTTACGTAGCCCAATGATCTTGAAACAATGGTGCAAATGTATTCAATACGAGTTAACCACGAAAGGGTAGAAGTCAGACGAACACCATTTTTTTTACATTTCGTGTCATGCAAGATAGTTTGAATATTTATATTCATGGCACGATAAAGTATATGTAGTATGTTTGAGGGTAAAAAAATATTTTACATTTAGAAACATTAAGCTTCATTAGCCAAGTGTTTCACCGAAGAGAAGCGAGTTCAAGGTCTTTGAGGAGGGCTTGGTGATCTGGTAATCATCGTTAGTTATAATAGGACAGTAAACAATGCTGTCATCTGCAAAAAACTCCAAGCATTTCCCTTAGTTGAACATGGTTAAGTGCGAATGCACGGGGTGATGCTATGAGAGGGAGTAAAGTTAAAATCCGTTGGCATTCGCCAGTGACTTAACTCCCCCGTGTGATCACATTGCGATTCCGAGGAACCATTAGACCCTTTCGGTAAATCTTGGTGAGTTTACGCGTATATGTGAGAGTAAATTCGCATTATAATGATGTTTATGTCCGCGGCCCGCTTCGCCCGCTCGCGCTCGGCATCACGGGCCCTTCGCCGCGCTGCCTTGTCTTCAACCGGCGCGACATCTTCAACGACGCGTGCAATGCTCCCATTCGATTGCGTTGTACTCGTTGTTGGAGGTATCGCAATCTAGGTTGATGCCTAGGGACAGATCCATACCTCTGACGACTTGCCGATCTCGAGCAAGTCGTGGCGGCGCGCGCAGCCACGGAGTGGAGGATGGAGCGCACGCAATCACATGGTGTGTGACGTCGTGGTGCCGTTGCTACAGACGCTTCTATCCACTCCTTGCACCGTTGCTAGGGGAGAGGAGGAGGCGCACCGTGGAAGAAAAATATCAGCGTCGCGTCCGTGGCTTATTTAGAGCGTCGCGCTGCGGCCCGCCAAGTCCTGTTTCTTTTAAAGATTGAGAGAAGACTGCGGACGCCGCCGACGGCGGTGGATGGTTTGGGGTCGCTTTAAAGTGCATTCGCACTTAAAATGTGCACGCAAGAGAAAATATTACTCCGTAAGTCATTTCGTATATCAGAAAGAAGGTAACGTGAGATGATAACAATTTTATTAACTACTGTGAATTTTGGATGACTGCACAAAAAAATTTGGATATATGTTTGTGTGTGTTTTTTTAGTTGTAGTTTTCGTTTTCTCTTTATGCGCTTTTTCGTGTTCTACTTATGTAATTGTACACGCTTTATCTTATTTGTGTTGATTTTGCTCCATATTCCGTTTCCTTCCAGTATTAGTCATAAAGCTCTATATTTTTATAATTAACCAAGGGTCCTACTACAGTTTCTTACTTTGGGACCCTTACCTGTTTATATGTTTATGCTGTAACAATTTATTTTGAAATCAATAAACTAAAACTGAACCTGAAAAAAGTAGTCTAGTCGGAGAACTGATAATTTCAGAATTAAGCAGAGATTTGCAACGAGACCAAAGTTTTGGGAAAATCGAGAGAAGCACAATCAGTTTGCAGAGCTTCCTTCATGCTAGCATGCTGATCAGTTGTCAGAAGAATTGTGTCTCGCATGAGAATTGTGTCTCCTTCGAAATCCGTGTTGATTACAGAAACTTTGAATTTGTTAGCTTCAAGGTGGCTGTAAACACTGCATGCTCTAGCATTTTGCAGAAGATGTACGTTAATGACTGGATGATAATTTGAGGGTGCGTGTGTGTCACAATACTAAAGTATTGGTATAACCTCAGATATCTTCCAGTCTGAGGGTGGTATGCCTGTATCTAACTATTGTGTCAAGATCTGTGTAAGGATTTGACTAGATACTATGATCGTGTTCTTGGAAATTTTCGAATTCATACCATCGATGCCACAGGATGCGGTTAGCTTGAGGTTATTTAAAAGGTGTGCGACTCCTCCAATGGTTACTTCTATAGTTGGCATATATTAGTAGTCAAATTCTGGTACTTTATGAAGTTCTGACCGACCTTCCAAAAAAAAAATAACAATTGAGAGTTGAGGTGGTCATCTGCAACTTATGTTGCGCCGGAATTTTTTCGGGTTACATTTAAGAAGTGGTAGTAAGTTTCGGCTAAAGTATTTATTTTTAGCTGAAGATAGGTCTATTTGACTATTTAAATATAGTGAATTTTTCTTCTGTGCAAGAAATTGTTACAAAAAAAGTGAAACAACTAGCTTTTCAGGCGCAGTTAACCTTTAGCATAACGAATATCAAAGTAATACAATTCTTGTATACCGAAGCATGTTATCCACGATTTCAATAAAACAAGGTTTGAATGCTGCCCCAGAGGAAGATCAAAGTGATAAACTTCTTCTGGGTCCAAGAGTCCAAGAACTAAATTGAACGATGTTGTTTTTTTTTTGTTGTTGTTGTTTTTTAGAATGCTTACACTGCGTTGGGCGTGCATTTCTTGCGTGTTCACGCATGACGTTCAGACGCTCTGAACAGGAATCCTTCGTCGTTACCGCACCAAGTTGTGTTCAGCATATCTGAGGTTCAAGAAATATCAGTTCCTTCGTGTTTTACTTCTCTACTGCCGTACTATTGGGACATTCGTTTGCAAGAAGTGGAATTCATTGGGTGGAACAGTGTGATAACAGGGTCCTGCCTCACTTCACGCGCTGTCTCCTTTTGCGTGGAAATGGTGACAAGCAATAATACCCACCCGTGGCGTTGACATTCCTCGCGGTGGGCGCGCTGCCGTTGCCGACGGGGCTGCTCACGGTGGGCGGCGTCCGATTCTGTGCGGCCGCACTGGTGCCCGCGATGCCGAACAACTGGTCGCGGTGGTTCGTGAAGAGCCACTGCGCCGTCTCGAAATCACCCATGGCATTCTGGACGCGTTTGGCCACCTCGTCTTCCTGGCCCGGAGGCACCTGTAAGCAAGTCACCATCAAAGGGGTGGGGCCGTCAAGTTTCTAGGCCAGTATAGTTCTCAGCCATGGATGCATCGGGGACCTTTTGGGGACTGGTGGGAGTGTTGGAGGACCCCTTGCAGCGGAGCTTACGGAGGAGGAAGGGAGGGGATTGATCGATGATTGATTGATTGATTGATTGATTGATTGATTGATTGATTGATTGATTGATTGATATGTGGGGTTTAACGTCCCAAAACCACCATTTGATTATGAGAGACGCCGTAGTGGAGGACTCCGGAAATTTAGACCACCTGGGGTTCTTTAACGTGCACCCAAATCTGAGCACACGGGCCTACAACATTTCCGCCTCCATCGGAAATACAGCCGCCGCAGCCGGGATTCGAACCCGCGACCTGCAAGTCAGCAGCCGAGCACCTTAGCCACTAGACCACCACGGCAGGGCAGGAGGGGAGGGGTACGTAGGCGAATTAACACAACCAGAGCGCGAAACAGGTGCCTTTTATTAGGCTTGTGCAAATAGTGAATTGTAGGTTCGAAACGAATTCGAAGCGAATAGTGATCTTGGTCAAATATATTGAATCGAGTTTGAATAGTATATATGACATACAAACAAAAATGGGCATATTTATAATGACCCAACTAACCAGCACAATATATTTTTATACCTAAATAAGGCCTGTATGCAAATGTCATTTTTTTTCGTTCACAGGAAGTCGAAACAACTTTGAACAGTAGCGGGGTATAAGTTTCGGTAGGATGCGAGTGATAACCTGTAAAATGGGTAACATTTTAAATTTTATTATATTTAGAGCATATAAGTTGTCATAACAAGTTTTTAAGCTCCATAAAATGATGAATTCATTTTAGAGTAACGTGTTCTTTTAAAGGGGCCCTGCAACACTTTTTCAAGTTGCCATGGAGTCAGTAAAGAAGCTTGTTGGCTCGCAAATTTACAGCTGCAAAATTTTTAGAAACAGTCCGGTACGAGCGGCGGAGTGCCGAAAATTAGTCGCACGCTGCAATTTGATTCTCCCTTTTCGTCTTGACGAAATAGCTGGAAGCTAAGCAGGAAGGAATGGCACGGCGAAAGAAAATACGTCACGCGCACCTCGTGACCTTGAGCACCTCTTTTTTTCTGTTTTCTTAGAATACGCAGCTTTTCGGTGTGATCGCGCCCTCACGCCTGGACACGTCGCGGCCTCCCGCTGCGGCTCCAGTGACGACAGAGCGCGCCATGTTAAATCAGCCAATGGCTGATGCAAGTGACGAGTGATTTGTGACGAGTGACGAGTGCAAGTGACGAGTGATGCAAGTGACGAATGATGCAAGTGACGAGTGGCTGTGACGAGTGATTTTTGAACTCATGGTGTCATTTGCCGAGAGAAGAGAGCAATTTTTCGGCTGGCTTTGGGAATTTACCGTGAATCGCAGGTCGCATGCAGCGCCATATATTTGGGCTCGCGTGTTTTCGGAAGCCTCGACTACCGATCGGGAGCGTTTTCTGAATACGCTCAAAAAGTGTTGGAAGGCCCCTTTAAATTTGCTGGAAAGCTTCGCAGCGAAGCAATTTTTTTTGTTTCAGTGCTTTCACGGCCTAGCATTTCAACACTGCAGCAACACCACCTTTACAAGCCGTTACATGCGGATTAATTTACACCTATTCGTTCATTGTGAATACTTCAAAATTTTCAATAATTTAAGCTTTAATTGAAGCGAATACTCTACTATTAGTTTGAATATTATTATTCGAATATTTGCACAAGTCTACATTTTGTTGCTACGAAAAAAAAACATCAAATAAACTTGCCACATCACTTCATTTTGGACAGTTCATCAATACGTGGCATAGTCACGTTTAAAAAGAAATGCGGGTGAGGGTTTCGCGGATCATATAAATGGCTTTGCGGACCCCCTAGGGTACACGGACCCCATTTAAGAACCACTGTTCTAAGCTATAACAAGCCTCTTGTGGGTTTCATCTGTAAGAAAGGACACTCCACACGACTCACGGTTGAAACCAGCAAACATTTAGAATATATTTTAGATCACCTCCAAACGGTACCTGAATGCTCATTCTCCCAATCGAGGCCCATCGCTAGCGCGTCCAAGACTGGCGTAGCTCCATAAGAACGGCAACGAAAGCCGCAGTGGCGTCACACCAGACTTTGTAGTTACGTGAGTGACCTCCGGAGCTCCGCCACGTACGTACCCACAAAACATCGCAACTGATTCGGGTGCATTTTGTTTTGCTGGTGTTTGCATGGCACGTGTAAGAGAGATACTCAGCCCAAAGTGCCTCACAGCTTTGTGTGGTCACATGACCAAGCCACCTACAATCCTTCTTCCTTTCCCCCTCGGCACCCAGAAACAGAAATTCAAGGTTGTCCGCTTAATTAAGGCGACATTACAATATTTACCGAAGATACGTGATCCCCGGTCCTACAATAAAGCCTCCCTTGTGTAGCACTGCCGCTCCGGCTGCGGAGCTTTTTGGGGTGCACGTCTTCTTCATCACAGTGGGTGTATCAACCTTCTTGGAGCTATAAGAAACACTGGCAGCAAAGAACGCGCACGCCACAGATACGGTGTGGCACCGCCCTCTAAGATTTCCACGACGTGTGCCTGCAGAAGGTTCATTTTTCCTCAGATAGGGTCGAAGACCATCAACTTCTAACATTTTCTGAAGAACAGTCACGGTTACTCTTCTTCTGCGATTACATTTATAGTGAAATATATTTCTTACGGAAATTTAAGGTATCGCTTCACATATCTAGCCTGCTAGTATATGCTGTAGATTGAAGGGAGACGGTCGAGATGACCTTCGCGGCCGTTTCTCCGACTGTTGAAACAAGCACCATATAGTATGATGCATGGAGAAACGAATGCTTTAGGAAGAAGGCACATCAATGCAAGTGATTGCACTTTATGCTTTTACGATTGTGGAGCTCTTGTATGCGTTGTTTGCTGCCCGCCTCAACCAACTGCTAATATTGCCCTTATAAATATTATCACTTTTGTTACTATATCCGTTGTCACTATTTTTGTCACTATTGTTACTATATCTTGGCATTTGGGCCATCAGCTACGGCTGACAGGCGTGCCATCGGTTCCTTTCGGAGGAAGAGGTCCCAGGGGGTTTGCATAGTAGCACATCAAGTCCCGGTTACTACAAATATTATTGGTAGGAGGAACTAATGTTTAACCCAAATAACTGATGCAACACAAACACAACTGTGGCAACGGCCGCCCAAAAGAGATGTTCCCCCCACGACAGCTATAATTGTCATACCCTTGTGTTTATCAGCAACTCCAGCGAATATGTTATGCCACTATTGCCAACGTACGAGAAATATTTAGTTGCCATTTTGTTCTACTTATCAACATTTATATTTCTGACAGGAGGTCCCCCTTCAGCCTTGTGCTATTGGACCTCCTTCTTAATATATATACTACCCCCAATGTGTTAACATATTTTGTAGCAAATAAACAATTTTTTGACCCACCGACCAACCGACCGACCGACCGACCGATTGATTGATTGATTGATTGATTGATTGATTGATTGATTGAAGATGCAACATTCCTTTAGTCAACATTTTCACACGTGGGATTGCCTTCGCCAAGGTAGCCTTGATTTGCCTTGTTCAACAAACACTCACCACATCAAACCTCCCTTTTCCCCTAAACTAATGTTTCCTTTCGATTCTCAATAGAGTTTTCTCTGCATGTTGTTTTTTTTGTTCACTGATTATACATATTTTTAAACAATACGCCTGGAAGCAGCCACTTTTCCGGAAAGCAAATGTAAAAGAGTGATTGCACTACGTCCCCAGATGAAAAAAAAAAAAAAAAACTCGTGGCTTGCAAAAGTTGCCTTTGCGCAGCTGTCGTATCCCCCCCCCCCCCCGCCTCTACTTTTGCACGAGATGGCTTGACTCACGCAACACAACTTAGCATGCGCCCGCCTTGTGGGCTTCTTTTACCTTTTTTTTTTCTTGCACAAACGTCTTTGACTATTCACAGGCCACCCCCTGCTTGCGATGTTACAGGCTACATCACCTTGCATGGCGACCCTTCAGCTCTGGCAGTCTTTCTAAAGCTGTCGCTATCGAGCTTCGAGGAGTGTGCACAGCCCACAACATCACGAATCGAAATTTTACCCACCTAGCTTTTGTGGTGTTATCACCATATGTACTACGCTTGTATTATTCAGGCGTAGCTTGTGACATTGCCACAGCTGCCTGTCTTGGTTTCAGCACATTGTTTTTTTTTCGTTAACTAGTACTATTCATTTTGATATTATCTATTAATTTCTATGCAAGCTGAAATATTCTATCAGCTGCAGGAGCACCAACACAACTTGAAAACAGCAGTATGTCAACATTATTTTAAAGAATGCCGGAGTTTCCATTGAACAAAACAGTGCTAGGGGTCATGCAGCTTCCGAGCCTGTTTACCAACACCTCGCGAACCTAGGGATGCTAGCCATCATGGGGCCCTTTTTCTGGCCATATATGGACGTCGGTTGTAAAGTATAAGTTTTATGTCCCAAATAAAATTATCATAGTACAGTTTCCGAGAACTGGGCGAGTCTCCTCGCAAAGTCACGATTTTTTTTTGTTTAGAGGTCCTAACTACAAGAGTACTAGGCGTTTTGGTGCGCTCAACCAACATACGCTTGTCTCACGCCCTAAAGGAATATCACTATGCATGAAAACCACTAAAGAAGCCCCGTAATATTAACTTTACTTTGCTAGCAAGATGAGGCGGTACAATGACGAACAAAAAATTTTCTCGGTGATAAAGCAAAAGTAAAGAAAATATCAGCAACCTACCTCATAAAGTCACTCTTTAAGTTTTTCTTCTTAATCAAAATCTCCTTGCAGCATCTCGGCTGAAAAGCATATCTTAGAAGTCAGGTAAAGATTAGCAGGATTCAACCAAAACGGTCAAGTGATGTCTACATTAGTACGCTACCAACTATGTAAATTCATTGG